GTATAAGAACAAAGGAAAACTGAAGGAACAAAACAGCAGCGGAAGCACAGAACCCAGGAAAGGACTAACAGTTACCAAAGGGAAAGGGACTGGGGAGGGTGGATGGATAGGGAGGGATAAGGGGGGGGGAAAGAAAGGGGGCCTTACGATTAGCATGTATAGTAGGGGGGGCACAGGGAGGGCTGTGCAACACAGAGAAGACAAGTAGTGATTCTGCAGCATCTTACTATGTTGATGGACAGTGACTGTGAAGGGGTATGTGGGGGGGACTTGGTGAAGGGGGGAGTCTAGTAACCATAATGTTCATGTAATTGTAGATTAATGATAAAATGAATTTTAAAAAATCTGTTGTTTCCGCTGGCTCTCACAGCAGATTCTTTCATTAGGGTGTCTGTGAATTGTTTTTAGCCTAGGTTTGCATTTGCCTTGGAAGTTTATTTACTCGACTCCCTGAGGTGGGGAAAGGTGCATCCCTCTAGGGCAATGGTTCTCAACCAGAGACGGGTCACCTCCACCACCACTCCCTTGGGTTATTCAGCAACGTCGATACATTAGGTTGTCACAAGTGTGCGTGCATGCGTGCACTTGCACATGCCGTGAGCATCTAGCAGACAGAAGCCAAGGAAGCTCCCCAACAGTGCATGGTAGCCCCAGGAGACTTACTTGGCCCCAGGCCTCGGTGGAGAGGCTGAGGAGCTGTGCTTGGGGGCCACTTCCAATTCCCCGCCTTGAGACCTCTGCAGCCACTCAGGTAGTGATTTTCTAGTTTCCAGGTCGTTAACGAAGAGGATGTGTATTTCTGCTCGGTGTGGAGCACCAGGGCCAAGAGAAGCCTCCCTCAGGCCCCTTCTGTGGCCGGCGGAGTGCACATCTACCCAGCAGCCCAAAGGTCAGCTTTGTGTGTGGGTGGAGGCTGTCCTGATGGAGGACACCCCTGGGGGCCGACACCGTTGTCTCGCGCCTCCCCAGTTCTGTGAGGTCAGAGGAAATGCACAACCCCCAGGTGTGGTGTTCACTCTTAGGGGAGCCCGGGCCTCCACGCTTGCTTGCCTGGAGGCTGTCTGGCCTCTGCAGAGTCCATCACCCCATTGGTAGTGGAGGGCTGGGTAGGAGCTAGCCAGGTCCAGTGGGAAGGGGGTTTCCCAGATGGGACGGCACCTGCAAAGCCCAGAGGAGGCTGGGCTCCAGGAATGGAGGGCAGTTTTCAGTTCTGGAATGTTACAGGGCAGGCCCGGAGAAGCTGCAAGCAGAGGCCTCCCAGTGAAGGGACAGGACCCGGGCTGGTGGGGAGGGTTGGTCATGGGATGGAAGGGGGTCAGCCTAAAAACCAGAAGGCAGGCCTTGGGGAGGTCCTGGTGGGCAGGCCGCAACCTGTTGCCTGGGGGTATTTCTCCTTGGCCAGCGCCTGTCTGACCACTGTATCACCAGTGTGCCTGGGTGCTGGAGGCCATATTCTGCCCTTCAGTACCTGCTCCCTTTCCTTCCTGGCATTTGGGGCCCCAGGAGAACCCACCTTCAGCCTCCAGTCAGCTTGCATACTGGGCTGATTTCCTGAGCTGGGACCACCCCAACTTCCTGCAGGCTTTGAAGGCAGTGGGGAGAGTACCTTAGCGGGGAGGGGTCTGCTATACCCAGGACCCCTCTGCTGCCAGGGCACCCTTCAGGGCTGCAGGAAGCTGCACACCCCCAACTCTGGGTGTTCAGGGTCCCTGTACTCTATACATGCCCACACCCCACATCCTTGGTCCTCGGCTTTGGGAAGTCCCCTTGGGAACAGTGGCACGGAGCACGGGCTCCTGCTGGGGCAGAGGCATCATTAGCAGGCCAGCCAAGCAGAGGCTTCCCCCCAAGAGCAGGCCTGGTACGGGGTAAAGTGACCCAGGATGGGGAACCTGCTCCCAGCCTCTTGCTGAATCCTGTGGTTCCCTGTTCTAGTGGCTGAGCAGAAATGGTCCCTAGTGGCTCAGACCTGGGGCCAGCCGGGGATGGGGGATAGAGGGTGTGACAAGTTCTCAAACCTGGGGAACGTTGAGTTCTGTGGAGTGGGTCCTGGTGGGGGTGCCTGGCCCTTGGGGCAAGTCTGGGGGACCCATACCGTCAATCGGGGGCACGGGGCCCTCCACTAGGAGGGGCACCCACAGCCATCCTGGTAACCACAGCCTGCCCCAGCCAGTGCCTGGCAGACCCTGAGCCTGGATCACAAGCTGCTCTGTGGGGCTCCATCGGGCAGACAGCTAATTCAAGTTGGTTTAGGGCCTGGGGTCTGTTGGGGAGGGTCAAGCAGGCCAGCCTTGGCCCAGGCACTAACTCTGACCACTCTTCCCCAAGTTCCTGTGTTAGGGAATACCCTCTAACCCTTCTATCTGCTCCTTCTGGCTGAGGAAGAGCCCAATCACCTGTTGGGCCTCCCAGCCCCCCAGAGACCCCTACTCCAGGCGGGGATTGATACCCAGGGTTGGGACTCCAGGGCCCCAGTGACTGGCATGCAGCTCCCTCTTCTGGCCACAGTCAGAAGCGCAGCTGAGTGACCAGTACCTTTTTACTGGAGACCCCGGGTCAGAGGGGAGCCAGGCCAGTGGAAAACATGGGGGTGGAGCTGCCTGACAGCAGGTAAACAGAAGAGGGGCCCCACTGCCCACAGACAGTAGCATATCCAGTCCTGCCTCAGTCAGCACCCCTGGCCGGGACCAAGTCTGTCGGGGGCCACAGGGCATCCTGGGGCACTGCCCATCAGCTGGGTCCACCGGGGAAGCCCACCCTGGGCGAGAAGAGGGAGGGCTCTGTCCAGGCCGGCCCTCGGCCCTGAGGTCCCCGTGTCCGTGTAGTGGCCGGCTAGATGAACGTGGAGTCCAGCGGCCCTGCGTCCTGCTGGCTGAGGGCACGCGCCTCAAACAGCTGCCTGATGAGGGAGGATTTCTCCTGCTCCAGCTGTGCGATCCGATCGCTCCTGGCGGCCACCTCCTGGGCGGGGGTGGCGGGGGGCGGTCAGGGTCTGCTGGGCCCCCGGCCCCGGCCCCGCACACCCATGGGCCTCACCTGGGCGAGCAGCCTGTTCTGCTCTTTCAGCTTGAGGATGGATTGCTGCTGCCAGTCTGGGGCTGGGGGTGAGGCGGGGGGCCCCAAGGAAGATGAGGGCAGAGCCTGTGGGAGGGCATGGTCAGGCAGGCCTCCAGGATCAGGGTGAGGGGTGGTACCGAGCTGGGTCGGGGTCCCACGTGGTTGACAGGGGTCTGGGGGGGATTCTCACCCTGCCAGCACAGGCCGCCGCCAGCAGCTCCCCCAGGCACCGGGCCACCTCCTGTACCTTGGGCAGCAGCCGCCCCAGAGGGCGGGAGCTCCCCTCAGCCCCAAAGTCCTGGTAGGAAAGCAGGGGAGGAGATAGAGAGCAGGGCCAGCCCTGTACCTTGACAGAGGTCCCCAAAGGTGGCCCTCCTGCCCCCAAAAGTTACTGCTCAGAGCTCAAAAAACCCAGGGGTGCTGCTGGCTGGAATGTGTGCTCCAGAGCAGCATGGGTCCCAGGGGACATCCCCGTAGGGGTGTCCAGCCTCCTGAGGGGAAGAACAGCTGCAGGGCCTTGGAGCTGGGAGCCCTACGTCCAGGGCCAGGTGGGGGGGGCCTCTGTGCAGGGCAGGGCACTCTGCCTGGGGTGGGGGCGGCACTCACAGCACTGGCCCTGCTCTGGCCCAGGCGGCGCTGGCGCTCCTGCACCCGCTGCAGCTGCTGCTCGTACCAGTCCCGGCCCCGCGCCATCATCTCCAGGCCCTGCTGCAGCACTTCCTGCTCCTGCTCCAGCTCCTTCACCTGCTTCAGCTGCCACACCGGACGCACACCCAGTAAGCGCACGCAGTGCACGCCTGCACATGGCGCGAGGAGCCACAGCGACGCAACTCAGCACACACAATCTGCACGCGTGAGCCCTCGCGTGTCCCTGCGCTGTGAGCACACCTCCCAGGGGTCCTGGCCTCCTGCAGAACTCAGGAGACTGCCCCAAGTTAGCACCCCTCTCTTCAGGGTGGGCCTCATGCAGCAGGCTGGGGCGAGGGTGGTGCTGCGGAGGGGGTCCAGTCGGCTGCACAGCCCATCCAGGCAGCCTTCTCCCTAAAGGACTTCTTGACCTGACCCTGGCCATCCTTAAGCGGACTCAAGCCCAGAAGGGGGGAGATGTTTAGAACTGGCCAGTGTTGCTGCCACAGATGCCCAAGCCCAGCTGCCCCCTCCCAGGCAGAAAGGTGGTCCAGGAGACCAAGCATGGAGGTCAAGTCCGATCCCTGGCAAGCTGGAAAGAGCTCCCAAGCCCCACTCACAAGGTCACAGTCCACACCATTGGTGATGGTGTGTCTCCGACGCTCCCCTCGGGCACGGGGGGCCCGCTGGGCATCCCCCACACCCAGCTCCCAGGCTCTGCAGGCCACTGCACCTGTAGGAGGCAAGGGCGTGATTCACTACCAGGGATGCCTAGTCGAGCTCAACCCACACCTGCCTCTGTGCCCGGCTGGGGCCTATTCCCCACTTGACCCCCACCAGCTCCCCTCATACCTGCCTTGGGGAAGCCCACTAACACTGCATGTCTGTGCACACACCACATGTGTGCATGCACCCTTGGTGTGAGCTCCCTGAGGCCCAGGGTCTTGGTACCTCCAGTGCTGAGAATACCTCAGGCACCCCTTGGGGGCTCACAGGCTGCCAGACACAGAGCAGAGCAAGCAGGCCGGGCTTCTGGTCTTCACTCCTTTCTCCGATCTGCCCGGCACCTTTAAGGGTGCCAGGAGTCTGAACAGGCAGAATGCTGGAGACCTACCTAACTTTTGTCCTCTGCATCTGTGCGTATGCAGCACACTGAGCCTGCAACTAGGCACTGCACAGCTTATATGTCCACTTGCTGGGGCCAGTGAGCCAGGCGCTGCCCCGTGAGGACATCCTGAAGGCCAGCGGTCTCCCTGGGGGATGGGGCAGTGTGTGTAGGGCCACCCAGAGGGGAGTGGAGGACACGTGCCTGGCTCCCCAGCCCTGTGTCCACACCATGGCTCTGCAGGCCATGCCCCCAGCGCCAGGCAGCGGGAGCAGGCAGGTGATGCGAGATGAGGGTGCAGGCGTGCCTGGGAGGGACATGTCCAGAGTGTTGGCACCAGGTGGCTGTGGGCTGCCAGCCAGCTCTGGCAGGCAGGCTCCAAGCAGGCCCAGAATTCATGCTCCAACCTGCCATGCCACATGGCTGGCAGAGGAGGTACAGGCCGAGGGAGGTTAGGGGGACAACCCTGGGGCCTCTGGGTCTGGTCTGCACTATCAAGTCTAAAGGGAGCTCCCAGGTCTCTGGACAAGCGCACACTGGATGTCCAGCTGGACCAGCAGGCAGAGACAGCCCTCCCCTGCCCAGGCCTGCACTAGCGGCCTGTTTCTGAGGCCTGGGCAGTCCTGGTGCATGCTGAGCCCCAACAGAGGACAAGAAAAAAGGGCCTGCCTCGCAGGGCTGTGTGTGTGTGTGGCTTTCTCTTCCTGCAAAGGCAACAGTGAGTGCCCTGGCCTGAAGCTAATGCTGCCCCATGGTGGGCAGTGGCAATGTGGCTGCCCCTGTCTGGTCTTCAGAGGGGTGTAGTAATAGGCCTGGTGCCACACGGGGCAGAGCGGTGCTGGACCATAGGCCTGATGCCCCCCAGCCCCAATCCCACAGCTGATTACCAAATGTGTAGAGCCACATGGATGGCACTGGCCCTGGACTCCTGGGCCAGCCACTCCTGGAAGACCCCCAACCATGGGGAAAGGGAAGCTGAGTAATGGGGAGCAGGGGGAGCCGGGATGGGGGAGGCCCACTTGGGGTGGGCTGCTGGATCAGTCCACTAGGCCAGCAGGGCCTGCTGTGGCTTCAAACAGAAGTGGTGGGGCTTGGGAACACGGCCAAGGCCAGAACAGGCGTCCAAGGAGTCTGGCAGACCAGTGGACAGGAAAAAAGGGCTGGCAGCTGCCAGGGGTCTAGAGGGCGTGTGCACAGGCTGAACAGGTTGAGGGCCTGTCCCCTAACCATGACCCAGGTCCTGTTCTCAGGGCAGGTACGGGGATGAGGTGGGGGCAGCTACAGGGGGCTATTCAGCCATCTCCTCTCTCTGCCAATTGGACTGGAAGCCAGGTAAGAAGCTTGCCGGCTGTCCCCAGGGGCTGTGGGTCAAGTCTCCCCGGGGGGTCAGCGGTAGCACAGCCCACAGGCCTCCAAGACCAGGCTACAGGCACACCGACCAGTCTGCCATTCCTGGTGAGGGCGCCAGGTCCTCCTGACACCCCCACCCCGCCCCAGCAGCTCGCACCAGCCCTGCCCTGGTCCGGGGCAGTGGGCAGGCCTTCTTGGTGGAGCTGCCGGGCTACCACAGGACCCCAAGGCCAGGGGGGCCCCTCCCAGCCTGGCGGGCCACCTTTCATTCTCACCGGAGGGACAGTCTCTGCTTAAGCAAAGAGACCCAGGGCCCCAGGTGCGGGACAAGCATTCCCCGGGCCCAGTTCGGGTCTGGCTCAGAATGGGTTCTCAGTGGTCTTTTCCGAGGCAACCACTAGTCCCTTGGCTTCTGGGCACACGGGGGCAGGCCCTAGGCCTCTCTCTTCCCCAGGTCTCAGCCAGGTTTCCCCGGTTCAGGAGCCCACCAAGAGCTGTGGGCCCCCGTACGCCCAGTGGGAGACGCAGGGGCAGCACCTCCGGACCTCCGGCCTTAGGGGCAGGCCGCGGGGAATACGAGGCGGGGCTGAGGGCCGACCAGCACTCACCAGCGTCTGCACTCAGGCTCCGCTCCAGCGCTGCGCCCTGGGGCTGCTCGGGCTCCACTGGGCCGGTTGCCGCCCCGGCCAGGACACACAGCTTCTCCAGACCCCGGGCCGCGCCGCCGGGGCCGGACGCTGGGGGGCGCGCGCCCAGGGGCAGGGGCTTCCTCTCCAGGACCGTCCGCGGCTCGTCTGCCGGAGCGAACAGCAGGCGCTGCGGCGGCGGCGGGAGCGGCTGGGCCCCTGGCCGCGCTGGGCAGCCTCCCCGGGCCGGGGCACGCGCCGGGCCCCGCGGGCTGCAGTCGGCGCTCAGCAGCGAGGTGCGCAAGCCGGCCACGAAGCGCTCGAAAGTCAGGTAGCCGCTGGCCGGGGCCACCTGGCGCAGGCCCTCGAGCACGCCGCGAGGCAGCTCGCGGGTGTCGGCGCCCCGCCAGCGGGACTCGATCTCGCGCAGGTGCACGCAGCCGCGACGCCGGTCGTCCAGGATGTCGAAGAGCGTGCGTAGGCTCTGCAGGAACGCGCGCGGCAGCCCCTCCGTGCCCGCCACGGGCGCGGACGGCCCACGGCAAGGCTCGGCCATCGCGGATCCGGCCATGGGCACCCGCCCAGGCTGGGTCCCTACCGCGCCCCACCGATGCGTCCGGGTCCCCTCCCCGCACGGCCCGACGGCAGGTCCCGGCCGGCGCGCGCCACCCGCCGCGACAATAGCGGGGACTTTTTGAATGGGCCCTCCTCGTGGCGTCAGAGATCATTAGCATTCGCGGCGGCCATTGGCCGCGGACGGCCCATCTTCTCCCGGATTGGCTGAGAGGCCACCAGCCCGGTTTGATTTTCCGGCAGAGGAGCCCTTCTCGCGCGCTCCCGCCGCCGCGCTGGGAGGGGCCGGGCTCGCGCACGGAGGCACGGGAGTGACGGGGATGGGGGTGGGCCGCCACTTGGCCTCCATCCCCACCTCGCCGGGTCGGGTAGCGAGCCCCAAGGGACCACCCCTTCTGCTCCCCCAGCCCCACACCAGCTCTCCGCCGGGCTCACCCCTGGGGTTGGTCGCCCAGCCACGTCTCCGAGGGGCAGGGCCTGGTGCCCTATACACAGTCTGTCCCCAGGTGGCCTATTGGGATAATGATGGAAAGCACCCCCCCCGCAGGGACCACCTTCCCCCTCTCGTTCCCCTTGGCTTTCTTCCCTGAGGGTCCCCTGGCCCGGGCTCTGACTCTGGGGTCCCTTTCTCTTGCACCAGGTCGGCCCCAAGAGGATTGTGGGCTCCAGCCAGCTGGGCGCTGTGCCTCACAGAGGCCCCTCTGTCTGCCCAGCTGCTAGCTCCACCCCTGGCCCCTGGGGATAGCCTGGCCTTTCCTGCCCGCTGCAAGACAAAGCCACTTTTTCCTGTGTCCCCAGATCCCCATCTGGTGACCAGCTCACCTCCACTCCAGCCTCCTCCTCTGACTGGACCCCTCCTCCAGCGGCTCTCCTGGTTCTCATAGCTGCTCAGACTGGCCAGGCAGCCGTGCGTCCCGGAGGCCCTTGCTTTGTTTCCAGCCAGGATTCGGGGTAATTTCTGTCCCTCTGGGACGTGGCCAGGGCTCTCAGCCTGTGGTCCGTGTAAGGACTGACTGGTAGGATCCTCCTGACGCCAAGGAAGAACCCCAAATGCAATCTGCCTGGGCTCCTCTGCCTTCACCCTTGCCTGCTTCCTTAGGCCCTACCCTGTTCCCATCCATCCCTCCAGTTTCCCCAGATATCCCCATACATGGGCACTTTGCTACTGAGCATTGCTGTAAGTCTGCGGAAAGGAAATCCTGGGGCCAACTACCTCTAAAAACCGAAATCAGTCAAAGGGAGAAATAAAGTTTAAAATCCATATATTGCTCACAAGCGGCAGTCGGGGCCGTTTCTCTCCTTCCTGCTCCAGCAGAAGCCAAAAACCGGCCCTCCCCTCCCCTCCGCTCTCAGGTACAGATAAGCCCTCCCAGCCCAGGTAATTACCCACTGATACAGAGATGAACTTCTCTCCACCCCTGAGGAATGATGCAAATGCACTAAAACCATACTTCTTTCCACCACTGAATAACTGTTGATATGCAGATGTACTAAAGCCAGGCGAGATATTCCGGAAATATTACAATTTTTCCCACAATTTCTCATGTATTACCAGCTGCTTTCTGTGCACACCATTCATCTTTAGGGTTAAATCAGCAGAGTCGCCAAACACTCCCTCCAGACAAGCCCCCTGCACAGGCTTGCTTTGGTCCTCTGGCCTCTCTCCAGCGCCTCCTGGGTGGCTTTCCTACCTGGGCCTCTGGGTCATTGGGCCCCAAGGCACTGGTGCCTCTGTCTCAGGTTGTAAGTGCAGCTACCCTGGCCAGGGAATGTCCTGTGTCCATGTCTCCCCTGGGGCTACCCCTGTTGACCTTAAAATATAAAACTGCCAGTTATTTTACCAACAAAATGAGTTTATTCAGGAATAGTAGAGAAATTACAATGCAGGACATGAACACCATGCAAACCATAGGCAGGTGAACAAGGGAGAGAAACGTCACTTCAGAGAAAACGCAAGGTGGGCGACGCTGCTTTGAAGGAAAGTCAGTTGCAGGAAAGCCGGGCTGTGGGCTGTCGCTAGGGGGAAGGAACCCAACTCCCCTGGGGAGGACGGGGAAGCGCTCCTGAGGGTGAGGCCTCCCCCTGCTGAACTCCCCCTCATTAGAACTGCACTCTAAATGAGGTTTCCGTTTATTAATTTTCATACCCCTCAAAGGCAGGACTCCTTGGTGGTGACGGATTTGGTGGGAAAGTGCTGGGAACCTAGAAAGAGTGAACCGGAGTCACCGCTGCCCCGCCTTCTCCATCAGTGGCTGGACAGGCCACCATCCCAGGACAGCACCCAGTTTGTCCTACAGTTTATCCCCCTCCCACTCTCCTTTCAGCACCTCCCTGGTCCCCCAGCCTTAGGGTACCTAGCATTCCCTCACCTCTGGGCCCTTGCATATGGGGGCTCTCTGTGGGTAAAACTGTAGTATTTCCAAAATATCTCGCTTAGCTTTAGTACATCTGCATATCAATAGGCGTTCAGAGGTGGAAAGAAGCGTGGCTTTAGTGCATTTGCATCATTCTTCAGGGGTGGAGAGAAGCTCATCTCTGTATCAGTGGGTAATTACCTGGGCAAGGAGGGCTTATCTGTACCCGAGAGGTGAGGGGAGGACGGTTTTGCTTCTGCTGGAGCAGGAGAGAGAGAAGGGCCCAGACTGCAGTTTGTTAAGCAAGAAAAGGATTTTAAACTTTATTTCTCCCTTTGACTGATTCTGGTTTTTAGACGTGTTTTGCCCCGGGATTTCCTCTCCCTGGACTTACATTCTCCTACCAGAAACACCCTCCCTTGCCTGCTCCTGACTGATTGCTGTGCATCCTTCAAAACTCTGTTTAGGTACTGGATTGGTGCATAGAAGTCAGGTTGGGGGTCCTGACCTTCAAAGCACGGGGATGCTTTCTCCTAGCCATGGTGGTTCTCTCCCTGCGAGTCTCTGTGCTCTTTGGGAGCAGGGCAGGGCCACCCCAAGGCCTGGCATTGGCCTAGCCCACAGTGGGTGCTCAGTGGGTGGCTGGCACACAGGAAACCTCATCGTGGGGGCCTCAGAAGAAACACCGTCCTTGTATGGTGTAAGTCCGGGGAGAGGAAATCCCGGGGTAAAATACCCCTAAAAACCAAAATCAGTCAAAGGGAGAAATAAAGTTTAAAACCCGTTTATTTCTCACAAACTGCAGTCCCAGGCCGTCTTCTCTGCTCTAGCCGCCACAACACCGGCCCTCCCCCTCACCTCTCAGGTACTGATAAGCCCTCTGTTGCCCAGGTAATTACCCATTGATATATGAACTTCTCCACCCCTGAGGAAAGATGCAAATGCACTGAAGCCAGACTTCTTTCTACCACTGAACGCCTATTGATATGCAGATGTACTAAAGCCAGGCAAGAAATCTGGAAATGTTTCAATTTTACCCACATATGGGATGCTACACCAGGGTGAGACCGTGGGGTGGTGAAGCCTGGGGACAGCTGCTGGGGTTCGTGTGGGTGTGGAGGCTAGTGGTCAGCAGCAAGGGACACTGTTGCAGCTCAGGATAGCATGGCCAGTGGTGTCCAGGCCAAGCCAGGGCACTGTGAACCTGAGCCCCCTCCCCCCTCCCCTGTGCAAAGGGAACAGGGCTCTGCCTGCGAGCATGGGGAGCTGTGGGGCAGGCAGCCCCTCAGCCCTCGGACTTCCTGGTGGCCTCTGGATCGGCACTGGAGGAAGGTATAGAAGAGACTAGAGTGGAGCCGCCTCTGGGTGCGGGGCTAAGGCGTGGCCCCAGAATCTTTCCTGCCCTGAACTCTGACCACTTCCTCCTTCCACCCTGCATTCCAGCCTGGCTTGACACCTTCCTAACTGTAGCTTTCAGCCTTGCTGTCACACCCGGGGGCTTCCCAGAGCCCCAGACCCTCTGGGTTCACTGTGATCCCTATACTCTCTGAGGCACCTGTCCCACTGTTGCGATCACATTCTCACTGTATCAGCTTGGAGTTCCTTGGAGATGGGCAGGGGAGTCCAGCTCCTCTGTCCCCTGCCCAGCACTGGGCATGGAGGACAGGGTGGCAGCTGCCCAGTCCCTGAGCCTGCCCCAGGGCTCTCTGGTCTCCTGCAGTGACAACCAGGGACCTGTGCTGACCCTGCTGCTCCCCTGAACCTTATGGACAAACTCGAGGACAAAGGTGTTAGGCAGGAAAAAAGATATGAGCAGGGTGGAGAGAGAATAAGGCCAGTAAAGCCCACTAAAAAGGGACTCAGAGAGTTAACCAGTTAAAACTAGAGAGCCGGAAAAGACAAAGTTAATGAGTTAATTAGTTGAAGCTCCAAAGGCCAGGAGTAACTTGGAATGTCCAAATATTCCCCAGATAAAGAAAAGCATCTATCTGAGCGCAGCCCATGTCTTCACTGTGTCAATTAGATCGCGCCATTGTAAGATTTACTTTAGCCTGCTACAAGGCCAGCTTATTCTTTAACCTATATGCTGTTTTTTCCTCCTCTAGCCTCCAATCAAGTAATCTGCAATCTGTGCAGGAGGAAGGCATCACAATTAATTTAGCAAACAAGTCCAGTTATAAACAGCAAAGCAAAAACAGGAAATATTCCATTTTAAAGCTAAGACTGCATTTTAAAACCCTAAAAGTTAAGATCCTTCACATATCCTTTGGCAAAGAGACAATAACTCAGCCCACCTTGGGGGCAGGGCAGGTGGTCTTGATTGATATTTTCCCAGAGGGAAGCTGCTATCCTGGGCAGGAGCCAGACCAGTAAATTTCTTGTGTTAAGTTTTTTGCAGAATTACCTGGAGGACTGATAAGAGAAGAGACTTAACTGTCTCTCATCAAAGATAAACATCTTGGGATAGCTTGACAAGCCCACACCCCCAGCCCTTTGTCACATTCCTGAAAAATCCTTAAAAGGGGAACCCCCAAACTTTCAAGGCACCTCTTCCCTGAGGTAGCCCACATTCCCCTTTCTCCAAGTGTGCACATTTTTGCCTTAAATAAAATTTTTTCTCAACCTTTCAGGGCGCACCTCTGCCTGAGGTCGCCAGCACATTCTCTCTTTTTAAATAAAACTTAAACCTTTCAGGGCACATCTGCTCCCTGAAGTTGCCTGCTGTGGGTAAAATTGTAATATTTCCAGAATATCCTGCCTGGCTTTAGTCCTCATGGGTGGAGAAAAGTATGGCTTCAGCGCATTTGCATATCAATAGGCATTCCTCAGAGGTGAAGAGAACTTCATCTCCATATTAATGGGTAATTACCTGGGCAACCCAGGGCTTCTCTGTACCTGAGAGGTGAGGGGAGGTACTGGTTTTGCTTCTGCCGGAGCAGGAAAGAGAAACGGTCCAGACCATACTTTGTAAGCAATAAGCAGATTTTAAGCTTTATTTCTCTCCCTTTGGCTGATTTCAGCTTTAGAGGTATTTTGCACCAGGATTTTCTCTCCACTGCACTTTCTCTTTAAGTGCATAACTTTAAATAAAACTTTTACTCTGCTTCACGACTGTGTCTCTGCCCTTCAATTCTTTGTTGTCAGTGAGAAGAACTGAGGAAAATAAACAATGCCCCCCCTAACAAAGGGAAGGCAATCCCCATGGTGGTTGGTCCCCGAGGTGGTAGCTCACTTCTCCTTCACTGGCATGCCTGCCTGTCTGCACCCGTCTGTCCGCCTGGGTGGGTCAGCTCCCCTTCTCCTGGCCCTGCAGGGGCCCATGTTACACTGTCCAAACCCTTGTGATATCACCCCCAGCCCCACCTTGAGGGGTTGTCCTGAGATGAGCCCTGAGTTAAAGTTCTGGCACCTGCCTTCCAGCACCCGTGTGCAGGGGTGCTAAGAGCTCCCATAGGCTCTGGCCTGGGGGAGGTGCTCTGTTCCCTGACTCCCTACCTCCTCCACACACCTTCCACCTCCAACATCTCCAAACTGCTCTTCAGCTGTGGTAAACGATTGGAGTGGACCATTCATTCATTCATTAAGCAAACTGTGGGTAAAATTGCAGTATTTCCAGAATCTCTTGCCTGGCTTTAGTGTATTTCCATACCAACAGGTGTTTCCAAGGGGTGAAGAGAATTAGTCCATCTCCATATCAGTAGGTAATTACGTGGGTGAGCGAGGGCTTATTTGGACTGAAGAGGTTGGGGGGAGTTTTTCCGCTTGCATCTGCTGCAGTTGGAGGGAGAGATGCAGGATGACTTCTTGTAAGCAATAAATGAATGGGTTTTAAACCTTATTTCTTCCTCCAACTGATTTTGGTTTCAGCTCGGTATTTTGCCCTGGGATTTCCCCTCCCCGGCTTTACACTGTCCCTGGACACTTGTTGTGGCCCAGTCACCGAGCTAGGCTTGGGATCCTATACTCATTCTTTCAGTCAACAAACATTTCCGGAGAGCCTGCTGCGGGCTGGGTATTAGTCTAAAGTGATGGGGTGGAGCAGTGGACCAAATTACATCCAGCTCTGGTGCAGTTTACTTCCCGTCGGGGAGCCAGGCAGCAGAGAATGCAGAAAGGCAGCAGGCACATAGGAGGGGGGAGGGCCTGGGAGGGTCTCCCCAGGGTGCTGACTCCTGAGCAAAGACCTATTGAAGAGGGGCAGGAAGTCATGACATTCTGGAAAACAATGGTCCAGCCAGGAGGGAGACAAATGCAAAGGCCCTGAGGCAAACCTAAGACCATCCTTGGAGAACTTTTGGGTCCCTAAGATGTTATAGTCCCCCCACCCCAAAGCTCGTCCTGCAAACCAGGGAGGGCTGGGGGCGCCTGAGAGCAGAACCTGCCTTGCCTGGAGACACAAATATTTTTAACGGGGATTAGCTGTGTCAGGCCTGGGGGGGATATTACTTTTCATCGGGGTCCCAAAGTGCCATTAGAACTTATCTTAACCCTGTACTTGTATTACTTTTACGCTTTAAGACTAGTTTCTAAAAGTAAGTTTTGTCCCCATATGGCAGAAACTACTTCATATTTTTCACCAGGGAGTTTATAAACAGCAACACATTTCAAAATCTGGTAAATAGAATGAGGGAGGGCAAGGGCCACGCCTGGGGTTCTGGTTACGGAAACGAAGAAGAACGGGGGACAGAGGGAGGGGGCGGGGCCTGCTGATGGTCGGGCTCCTCCCCCGCGCGGCCCAGCCCAGCCTCCAGGTGGCCGGGCAAATGCGCCCGGGTCCTGTGCAGGGACAGGTCCAGCCTCTCCGCAGGTGTCCCTGCCCCGGGGCTGTGGACAGAGAACGGGGTACGTTACAACTCAAGTCAGCCCTCACGCGTCCGGGCCAGGGGTGCCGCAGAACCTGCTGAGGCTCCCGGACTCGGGGCGCCGGGGCCCCTATACCGCAGGCGTCCCCGGCGGCCGGCCGGGCTCCTCCGACCACTGCGGCAAACGCCCCCCCGAAGCTCGCGGGCCGCCCCAGAGAGGGCAGGGGCGGGGCGCCCGGGGCGCGCTCGGAGTGGCCTCGGCGCAGAGGCGGGGCGCGCCGGGCCGGGGCGGGGCTGCCCGCCGGGTCGCGTGACGCCGGCCGGAGCGCGCGGGTCACGAGTGCCGACGCGGCGGCCGGCCGCGGCGACATGGCTTCGGAGCAGGACGTGCGCGCCCGGCTGCAGCGCGCCGGCCAGGAGCACCTCCTGCGCTTCTGCGCCGAGCTGGCGCCGGGGCCGCGCGCCGCGCTGCTGGCGGAGCTGGCGGCCCTGGAGCCCGAGGCGCTGCGCGAGCACTGCCGGCGCGCGGCCGCGGCCTGCGCGCGCCCCCCGGGCCCGGCGCCCGACCTGGCCGCGCGCCTGCGGCCCCTGCCTCCCGAGCGCGTGGGCAGCGCGTACCGGGGCGACGCCGGGATGCGGCGGCTCTGGGAGTCGGAAGGTAGGCGGGCGGGGCGTTGCCCAGAGTGGCCCCGGAGGCCGTGCGTGGAGTTTGTGTGCCGCGTGCCTTTGTGAAGCCTCCTGCCCTCTCCCACGGACCCCTCGCGATTGGGGTGACGAGACCCCAAATACAGCCAGGCTGGCGGGTGCCCCCTCGGGAGATTTGTGCATGTGCACACCTGGATGGCCAACCGCCCGGCCCGCTGGCCTCACTGACCCCTTGCACAACTGCATACGCTTCTTGTCACACCCTTGCCAGCGTAGGGGCACCCTTGGCTTGGAGGTGGGGCAGGTGCACCAAGGTGCACCCCACTCCCCAACTGTACATCTGTGATCCGATGTTTCTCTGAAGAACCCAAGAGGCAAGGATAGGTTTGGGTGGGGTCCTGGCTTAGATGAGATCAGTTATCTGGAAGTTTCTGTCCTGTGGCTGTCAGAACTATGAGTCTCAGGAGTAAGTTTAGCTTGCTCTGAAATGAAGGGGCGGTTGTGTGGCAGGCCTTTGGGGTGGGGGGCATTACATGACACTGACACTGCATGCCCCCAGGTTTCCACCAGATCTCCCGGAACAAGGTGGCTGTGCTGCTGCTTGCTGGTGGGCAGGGCACTCGCCTCGGTGTGACCTACCCCAAGGGCATGTATCAGGTGGGGCTGCCCAGCCAGAAGACGCTGTATCAGCTGCAGGCAGAACGGATCCGGCGGGTCGAGCAGCTGGCTGGCGAGCGCCACGGAACCCGCTGCGTTGTACCCTGGTGGGCCCTCTTTGCTTTACCTCAGCCCCTGCGTCCCCTCTCCCCACCACGGTCCCCATGCAGCACTAGCCCTGCCCCACACTGAGACTTGACCCCCAGCACTCAACCCTGACTGAGGGCTGACCCTGGCCACAGACTGGACCCCAGTGCCAGCCCCCATTCGAGCCCCATCTGTCAGAGGGGCCAGGCCCTCTGAAAGGCCTGCCCAGCCTTGCCTCCCCTTGCAGGTACATCATGACGAGTGAGTTCACGCTGGGGCCCACCGTCAAGTTCTTCAAGGAGCAGGACTTCTTCTGTCTGGACCCCAACAATGTGGTCATGTTTGAGCAGCGTATGCTGCCTGCAGTGACTTTTGATGGCAAGGCCATCCTGGAGCGAAAAGACAAGGTTGCTCTGGCCCCAGGTATGGCCTCCCAAGATGGGACTGCCTGGCCCAGGACACAGACCCCTAGCTAGGGGCTGGAGGTCTGGGACAGAGGCCAGAATGTGAGGCCAGAGGTTGTGTGGTTCTGGGCAAATAGCCTCCCCTTTCTGAGCCTCGATTCCTGTCTGTCCTGTGAACAACCGCAGCACTACTTGGGTAGTGACAGCTGCCTCTGGTACATGCCCTGGACTGGCTGGCTGGGACCTGGCTGAAACCCTCACAGGGGCCGTCCTTCTTCCCTGCGCAGATGGCAATGGGGGCCTGTACTGCGCGCTGGCAGACCACCAGGTCCTAGAGGACATGGAGCGCCGAGGGGTGGAGTTTGTGCACGTGTACTGCGTAGACAACATCTTGGTGCGGTTGGCCGACCCTGTTTTCATTGGCTTCTGCGTGCTGCAGGGCGCAGACTGTGGGGCCAAGGTTAGCCTGCCCTGCCCGCCCTGCCCTGCCTCTGCCTGCCCCTCTCACGGCCCCGCCTGCCCAGCCCTTCTGCTCTGGCTGCAGGTGGTGGAAAAGGCATACCCTGAGGAGCCGGTGGGCGTGGTGTGCCAGGTGGACGGTGTCCCACAGGTGGTGGAGTACAGTGAGATCAGCCCTGAGACCGCGCAGCTTCGTAGGCCTGATGGCAGCCTGCTCTACAGCGCAGGCAACATCTGCAACCATTTCTTCACTCGGGGCTTCCTCCAGACGGTCACCAGGTGTGCACTGGTGGCAGTGAGATCTGGCTAGAGCAGTCTGTGGCCTGTGCTGACCAGGGCTGGCCTGGCTAGTGACTGAAGACTGACCGGTGCCCTGTGGGGCCATGTGTGGCCATGTGTGACAGCCCGCCCATGGATTGGGGTAGAGAAAAGTTCTTGCTTTTGAATAAGCGGGAGGGCCCCAGAGCCCTGGCAGCTGGCATAAGGCTTTGTGGCCAAGGTGGTCTCCTCTCCTGCACTGTGGCCCTCTGGCTTGCCAGTTGCCATTCCATCTGGGCACCCATGTGGCCGATGGTTCCTGGCATTTGGGCACGAGTGCTCAGTGTCTACTGCTCCTGTGCCCCGTGGGTCAATCTGCCAGCCTGTCCTTGTGGTTGGGCTTTAAGAGGCGAGCATGGGGCTCCCAGGCTGTCCTGTCTGAATTGTGTCTTTCCTTTCCTTGTCCTGCTGTCTCCTCAGGGAGTTCGAGCCCTTGCTGACGCCACACGTGGCTGTGAAGAAGGTCCCGTACGTGGATGAGGAGGGGAATCCGGTAAAGCCGATAAAACCAAACGGGATAAAGATGGAGAAGTTTGTGTTTGATGTGTTCCAGTTTGCTAAGTTAGTGGCAGCAGTCATGAATTTTTTCCTTCTTTCCTCCTCCTGACTCAGTGGTGGGTTCTGAAGCCCAGTTGGGCAGGGAAGTGGAGGCCGGGGATGCTGGGGGTGGCACTGACGGGATGCCCCTTTGCCGTGGGGAGCTGGGGGCTGCATACAGGTCTCGGGGAGGCCAAGGAAGCAGCCCCTGGTGGGAGCATGGGGGGTTGGGATCCTTGGAGCTGTGGGCCTGGGGGTTCCTGAGCCCCCTCCTGAGCCCTCCATCTGCTTCTCACCTGGAGTGAGAAGCCTGTTTCCAGGCCAGGTTGCTGGGGGTCTCCCAGGGTGTCTGGCCCTCACTCCGGGGTCTCAGGGTCAGAATTTGGCTGGTGGGAATGGAAGGGAGGGCTTAAGGCAAGCCCCAGACAAGTGAGTAGCTCTGGTGGGGCCCCCCTAGGCCTCGCTGTGCCAGGGACAACAGACCAACCCAGTTGGTGGTTGGAACCCTAGCCCGGCCTTCGCCTGCTTGGACCAGGACTTCTGGGTCATGACACTGGGTTACCAGCTGTTTTCCCCGCTAGGAACTTTGTGGCCTTTGAAGTGCTGCGGGACGAGGAGTTTTCTCCTCTGAAGAATGCTGACTCGGCCGACAGGGACACGCCGTCCACGGCCCGGCGCGCCCTGCTAGCTCAGCACTATCGGTGGGCCCTGCAGGCAGGCGCCCACTTCCTGGATGCACACGGGGTTCAGCTTCCAGAGATGCCCAGGTGAGTGTGGGCCCCCAGGTGCTGCCCCAAGGACAAGGGTGTCAAGTCATCAGGGCCCGAGCCCCATGGCCTGGCTGTTCTGCTGATGTCTGACTGTGGTGGCGGCTTCTGCTCTGGCCCTTCACTGAATGCAGGTGGCTGTGTGCCCAGACCAGTCATGAAGTGACTGCCATGCAGCCTTCGGCCAGTCCCTCATCCATGTGGGCCCTGGGGGAGGGGGCTGCAGTGCTCATTGCTCATTTCTAAGCTCTGCGTGAGGCCAAGAACCAGGCACAACGTTCAGAATGTAGCCAAGCCGGTGACTTCAGGGCTGGGAAGGAAGGGCATTAGGTGTCCATCTCCGCAGTTGTGCACAGCTACCACCTCCATCTGCCTGCCTGGGCTCTGTGAGGGATGCCTGTTTGGGTGCATTTCCAGCCCCAATCAGGGCCTATGCCTTGGGCAAGGGAAGTGTGCTCAGGGCCCCAGGAGTTCAGAGGAAAGAGCTGCAGGAGCTGGGTGTGTGGTCGGCCCGCTGGGCCAGCTTCCAGGATGGGCTGTGCTGGGGGAAGGTCTCAGGTTCTGCACCCCTGGGCAGGTGCTGATACGTGTCCTCCCCGCCCACAGCCTGCCCAGCAGTGCAGAGCCCCCAGCTGTCTGTGAGATCTCACCTCTGGTGTCCTACTCTGGAGAGGTGAGCGCTGCCTGCCGTTCTGGGGTTAGGCTCTGTGGCTGGGGAAGATCAGGAGAGGTGGGTGCCAGGCTAGAGAGGCACAGCACTGCCTCAGTTTGCCAACAGGGCAAAGAGTGCTTTAGATGGTGGAGGACCTTCTGGGACATGGGAGGAGGGTAGTGTCAAGAGACCCTTGCAGGGCTTGGGAAGGGTGGGGAGGCTATGTCAGGTCAGGTCAGAGTCTGGGGTAAGTCAGACTTTTGTGGGCATCTCACTGAGGGAGGAGTGTTTGCTCTTCTCCATCTCTGGAAAGTTCTAGCCTCAGCTTTCCGGAAGGCTCGAACTGGCCTGGGTCTGCAGGTGGCATCTCACCCTGTTCCTGGGAGCCTCACTAGCTGCAGGCTCAAGTGGGGCTTTTACTGG